ACAATACTAGTCTGTACGGTCCGTAACGGACCGGACGAGGTAGGTACGAGACACACACACACACACACACACACACACACACACACACACACACACACACACACATCCTGCTATCACCTCCATCAGCACAGATGGAGGTCACAAACATGCACAGACTGGGGTTCACCCCATGCTTTCTGGTCCTCAGGGAGTGGGGGACAGTACAGGGGCCCCTGGATGCTCCCCTGCAGCCCAGCCCCCTCCGTATCAGGCAATCTCTGCTCCCCTGGATGCTTGCCAAGAAATCTTGTAAGACCAGACAATCCCTGCAGCTCAGCCTCCCCTCTCCTGCCTTGCTGCGATCAGGCCATGCAAATGTCGGAAATGTTACTGGGATAGGTCAAGCTTTAGGCAAAGTGTTAGCAGGGATTGGGGAGGGAGGGAGGAGGGAGATTTTGGAATGGCCCAGTTAGCAAGGGTGAAGTCCCAGCCCAGGGAAAGGAGGCTCAGAGACCCCACCTTGGGCTGCAGGGAAGCAGCATCTGTACCAGTAAAAAGCCAACTGCAATCACTATTCTTGCCTTCTTATACTGAGCACTTATAGAGCATCTCCTTCATAGAAAGCACTGTGCCAGGGAGTAGGGAAGAGACAATGCACAGATGATACACCCCGTCCTCGAGGAGCTCACTATCTATTGGAGGGACAGAGGTTGGTACAGAAATCATTATAATCCAAAGCATATGGTGTAAGTGACATGATAGAGGCAAACCATGTGCTGCAGAGATTCCGCACAGAGAGTAATGGATCCAAGCTGGGGGGTCGGGGAAGGTTTCATTAGAATGGGTCTCAAAGGATGGAGAGGGTTTTCACAAGTGGAGAGAGAGATGGAGCAGGGGGAGCAGAGCACCTACAGGGAGGAAACAGAAAGAACAAAGGCAAAGAGCTGGGAAGGGGCAGTGTATGTTTCGTTTTCTTTCTCAACAAACATTGATGGAATGCCTAGAATGCATGAGAGCAGGACAGATACCGTCCTATCTTAGTGGAGCTTCCAGTCTGGAGGGGAGATAAGAGGAGCTGGTGAACAAATAACCAAGTGCAGGGTGTGCAGTCTAGCCTGGCAAAAGTGAAGGACCTTGGCCAGAGAGCTGAGGAGCCTCCTCCAAATGAGTCCACCGAGAGATGCTCCCTGAGCCCTGCATCCAGTGACATGTTCTTGATCCGCAGCCTTTGACAGTCCTCAAATGCATCCCTACCCTCTTCAGTCCCCAAATGATGTGATTTCAAACTGAAAACCTCTTTGCCATCATCCATTCACAGGACCATTCATTTGTATTTTGTGAGAGCGATGCCTGGTACGGTGCATGCCACCCCACTCAGGGAGAGGGACACGGGTGGGAGGCTTCCACCTGCTCCCCTCCCAGGAGACCAGCCATCATGGGTACCCAGGCTTATTGCCCAAGCCTCATCCAACTCTGGGTGATAGTCCTCCTGACTACATTCTCCTTGCTTCTGCTTGATCAGCTTTCACTGAGGGAGGGCAGAGGGGGCTATAGGAAGGGAAGAGCATCCCTGAGGGTCTAGAAAAGAGCAATGGGAGTGGCCTAGGTTGGCCAGTGGTGGCAGAGTGGAGGTGACATTGGTCTGCCGATGGCTGTTGCCATGGCAGTGAGCTTTGAATGTACACCAGCCCTTCCTGCCCACCACTCCCACCCCATCCACCCACCCTTCACAGAAAGGAGGAACTGCCCTTCAGCCCTCCCAACACTGCTCACAGACGCTAACACTGACAGCAAGTCTAGAACCAGAGTGGTGAGGACTGTCTCCTATTTGTGCCCAAATTCCTGCCTCCTCACAAGTTTATCTTAGTCCAAGGCTCACTCCTCTCCTTCATCCACTGACTCATGTATTCATTCATTCAACACTTATTAACTGAGCATCTACTAAACCAGGCACTCTGTGCTGAGCAGTGAAACAAAACAGGGGAGGGAGGTGAGGAGGAGGGAGGCTCCCCTGCTCACTTGGGGACCCAGCTGAAGGAGGCTCTGCCATCTTAGGATGCCGCCATCAAGACACATGGTACATGGTATTCCCCAGATCCGGAGACAAAGAAGTGTGTGCAAGTTATTTATGTGAAAGTTGCTCTCAAGACACCAGGAAGGAACAGAGGAAGTGATACAGGAAAGGGAAGAAAGCCAATAATGGATGTGGAGCTAGTCAGTCACCACTGGGGGCAATTCTAGGAGCCCCATTGTCATCTCCACCCAGGAGGGAGGAAGGTGGTGAGTTTATCACCAATCTCTGACTGTCATTATTGGGGGCCCTAACTGCAGTACCTTCAGCTTGCCTTGGGGTAAATGTCTCAGATGTGCCTTGAGCAGCCTTCAAAAGTAGAGGCGAAGGGGGAGGGTATAGCTCAGTGGCAGAGTGAGTGCTTGGCATGCACAAGTTCTTGGGTTCAATCCGCAGTACCTCCATTAAAAAATACATAAATAAACCTAATCACCTCTGCTCTCCCCTCAAAACCTATTAAAGAAAGTAGAGGTGAGTGCTGACAAGAATGGGTGGGACACAAATAAACAAAGGGACTGCATCAAACGAAAAAGCTTTTGCACAAACTATCAACAAAATGGAAAGGCTATGTACTGAATGCGAGATAGTTGCAAATGATACATTTGATAAGGGCTTAATATGCAAAAGATACAAAGAACACATATGACTCAATACCAAAAAAGCAAACAACCTGATTAAAAACTGGACAGAAAATCTGTATAGACATTTTTCCAAAGAAGACATATAGATGGCCAACAGGCACATGAAAGTTCAACGTTGCCAGTCATCAGGGAAATGCAAATCAAACCCACAATGAGTATCACTCCCCACTTGTCAGAATGGCTGTCATCAAAAAGACAACACATAAGTGTTGAGGAGGATGTGGAGAAAAGGGGACCCTCCAATACTGTTGGTGGGAATGTATATTGGTGTGGCCACTATGGAAAACAGTATGGAGAGTGCTCCAGAAATTAAAAATAGAACTGCCATACATTCCAGCAATTCCACTCTTGGGTGTTTATCAAAAACAAAAACAAAAACAAAAAAGCCCCACTAATTAGAAAAGATACATGTGCCCCTATAGTCATTGTAGCATTATTTGCAATAGCCAAGATATGGAAGCAACCTAAGTGTCCATCAACAGATGAATGGATAAAGAAGATGTGATATACATACACAATGGAATACTACTCAGTCACAAAGAAGTATGAAATCTTCCCATTTGGGACAACATGGATGGACCTAGAGGGTATTATGCTAAGTGAAATAAGTCAGATACAGAAAGACAAATATGGTATGACATGTGAAATCTGAAAAACAAAACAAGTGAACAAACATAACAAAACAGAAACAGAGTCATAAACACTGAGAACAAACAGGTGGTTGCCAGGGGGGAGGCAGGCGGGGGGAGGAGAGGGATAGGTAAGAAAGATTAAGAGACACAAAATTTCAATTGCAAAATAAATATCATTGGTATGAAATGTACAGTGTGGGAATATAGTCAATAATCATGTAATATTTCTGTATGGTGACGGATGGTAACAACTTGTGGTGATCATTTTGAAATGTATAGAAATAGCAAATCACTATGTTGTGTATGAGGAACTAACATAGTGTTGTAGGTCAATTATACTTCAAAAACAAAGAATGGGTAGGGCATAGAGGCACCTGTGACATTGGTGTCCAGGGTCCGAGAGACAGGGACGAGAAAGAGTAGGGACAATGGTGGGAGGTGGGGGCATTCTACGCCAGAACTCAATCACATGGCCCCAATCTACATGGAACAGGGGCTGGGAATTGTAAGGAAGCACATGAAATATTT